ATTATTTCTCACGATGTCCGTTGGAGTGCTCATATTGACAGTATTGTAAAAAAAAAAAAAAGCGAATTATAAACTGTGGTATTTAAGGCGGTCTTTGAAACTAAGTTCACTGAACACAAAACTTTTGGCTTATCAGACACTCATTAGTCTGTTGATGCAATACGCATGCGAAATTCGGGATCCTCGTATTGTTAAAGATGTGCTAAAGCTAGAAAAGGTGCAACGACTTGCTTTACGTTTCATTTTTTCCAAATATCGTCGACTGAGTTCACCTACGGCACTGTATTCAAACGCCAACATTCCATTACTTAAGATGAGGCGCAAAGAAAAAAGATTGACATTTTTATTTATGATTAATAATGGCTTATTGCAGATAGATAAAACAGCTTACCTAGTTCCTGACGAGTCGAGAATAACTCGGAACAAGCACAGTCGCGCACTTCATCAGCCCCGGTTCTTCAAAGACTGTTTCAGATACTCATTCTTTCCACAAACCATAGGTGACTGGAATCTTCTTTCGGGGCAAGCTGTGGTATGCCAATCACTTCAAGCTTTTTCTTCTTTTATAGCATCTTGCAAAATGTGAAGAAAATTTTTGTTTTATTGTTTTCCGCCAACGTATTGGCCATCGTATTGGTATCCCATAACGGATCTAATTTCTATCTTTCATTGTTAAAGCATATTTGTGATTATGTGGTGATATCTTTTATAGTACCTTTTCAAGTGTGTGCTGCTCTTGTTGTTGTTGTTTTCTTTGTACACTTGTATACCCACCCTATCATAGTCTCAATAGACTGATAGTATTTTGAAATAAAATAAAAATAAATAATGACGCTGGCTTTTCGCAAACGCGATCGAAAGCCTAAATGGAATCACTAAAGCATTTGTTATATTGATATCGCTGCACTTCCATTCCCTTCTGCGCAGTTCGCTCGTTTAATTGCGTAATTGTTTTTGCCCATCCTGCGTACCGGAGTCGCACCCTAGTAGACTGACACCGTTAAACGTGCATGTTATGTGTCAAAAGGAATGAAACGCCAAATTATTACGCCCGCTTTTGGAAGAAATAAACGCCGAAAGCCATCACATTTTCGAAAAATCAGTCGAACATTTTGCGAAATTCCAAACATGCTACACTCATTTAACCTTCTAAAAATGAAGGAGGAAAAAAAAATCTAGCCTTTGTATGCCATATAAATTGCAACTAGGTGTCGTTTAAAATTGTTTTGGTATTTCCGGACCGCAAATATGCCCGCATATGGCTCGTTTTTTTAAACAAACGGTGGGAAAATACCGTTTTGAAGTTCAGATTTTCTTTTTTTTTTTTTTTTTTTTTTTTGCGCTCGACTTTTGACTTTTTTTTTGCAGGTGTATGAAATTCACAATGTCAATCTGTCGTGCCGCAAGAGCAGCAGCTTTGTTCCGGATGCAGGCTATTTTTTTCGCTCAAAGCGCTCCATGGCCACGTAATCTGCTGTCGTGGTCGACCGCGGTTAGAACCCAATGTCGGACTCGAATCTCCCAAGGTTCGAGTCCAGTCAGGTTCGACGTTTTCGAACTTTCAACTAAAGGGTCAAAAAGTTCGACGGAAGTTCGCCTATCATGCGGGCACGCGTCAATAATGGGGCCCATGAGACGGGCTCCCGACTGATGGCATGTATGGCGTAAATTGAGAACTAGCTGGAGCAGACGTATACCATTTTAACAAACTCACTAAATCCATACAAGCATGTATGTTTTTTACGAAGTTTTTTCCTCCATAAGTTTAAAGTTTTTCTCTCGAAGCCGGGCAACGCCATACTTCTAAGACGTCGAACTTCGCCGAATCTTGCCAGAAGGTGGAAGGTTTGCCGAATCGGTCCAATCTCAGAGAATCGACAATTGTTCGTGACATCCCCGGTTTAGAAACGTCACTCGCCCACCTGCGTCGGCCGTGGATATCTCGGCCGAACACACAGCTGTTGCGGGGGTGGTATAATGGCACGCAGTTTCCTCTACGCGCATATCTGTTGCGCTTGAACTTGCGACGTTGTGTTGGAGTCCGGCTCACGCATGCGTCGTCGCTCTACCAGACGCAGCTTTGTGATTGTTTGTGCTCCTTAGAATTTCCACGTGATGACGTCACGGAAGTGACGTGATCAGGCTGCTGCCTGCCGCGCTCCTGGCGGTGGCAGAGCAGCGTAAAATGCGGTAGACACCTGTTCCGCTGCGGTTCGCTCTCCAGCTTGACAGTGCACGGAAGCTCCGACAGCCTGGAGTTGGGACGCCGCGAAGGCAGCGACACTCGCGTTTGGGTCTACTTTTGGCCGGAGCTTCTGCGACCAACCGCCAGGTTCGCGACGTCGGCCACACGCCGGCTCCTCTGACGTCATCTGTTGCTACTCCGGGACCGCTTTCGATCCGCGTTTGGTATGGGATGCTAAACACACCAGTCGCAAGACTCGGTTTTAGTCGCCGTACCGCCTGTTATCGCGTCCATGCTTGACTAGCTTGCCCCCACCGTACGACTTAACCTGTGCGTGCCGTGGTTCACCCGAAGTCGCCGAAGGAATCTTGGAATAAGTACAGGCTGTGCAACTGCATAACCGAAATGTTTTCCCTGTGAGTCTACTTAATTTTGTGGAAGATTGTGCGTTGCTATCTCTCATTCGTCGACCCGGTGTCAGTTTAAATGAGACAACTAAGAAAAAAATCATTTTTTTCAACAATGTTTCGCTACGTTCTTCACATCTGGATTCTGTTTGGTAAGACTACTGACGTTCTTTGTTGCGGTGTACTGTATTAGATATCTTGTTTTCCATTCGACGTCTTATGCGAGAATTAACTGTCAATGGAACGTAGGTGTAAGAATTTAGCGAGTTGGCTTAGGGTGAATATAGCGACACGGAATTTGTTTGTTGGAGATATCGACGTTTGTTTACCAAAGGTTAAGTTTTCATATTTCTTAGCACGCTCGGACTCGACCCCTTTTCCTTGTTTTCCCCGCCACATTTATAAGCTATACCGTTTTTGTTTTTTGTCTTGGCAAGTTTGAAGGTTTTCCAGGAAACCCGTCATCTGACGATGTTTATCTATGATAAAGCAATATTCACACCACCATTAAGCTTGGATTTTTTTAATACTCCCAATGCATTGTTTGTGCATCTTTTTTTATTGTATATAGTTGTGGTTGCGTACGTTTTACAGTTTTTGATAGCTTTACATTTTAGTCAGTCTGTCTGCAATAATTTTGCGCGTTGTCGTTCATTATTTTTTAAGAGAATCTCCTCAAATGTATACTGCATTTTAAATTGAAAAAAAAAAACTTGGTAAGAGTTTGGTTTTTTGCAAAGCGTTACTGGTGTCCCCTTTAGGCGGTGAACTGACATACCTTTGTGTGCATTTAAGACCGGTTATATGTTATTTTATAAAAAAAGAAAAACGTAATGTAAAGACAAAACAAGCGAAAAATATCTTAACATAGAAATAATAAAAACACAGACTTTCACAGACAACCACTCTTTCAGAAAGGGTGGTTTTATGAAAGAGTGTGGTTGTCCGTGAAAGTTCCTCCTGTTTTCTTATTCCTATTTTAAGTATTAGTATTCACAACACGCACGTCTTAACCAGAAACAAAACGTTTTTTTTTTCGCCAAGCAACTTTGTTGGAACTACATCGTGCAGTGCATGAATTACGCGCCAATTTTGTTTTCCTCGAAGTGACAACGTGCATAGTTGGTCTAATCAAAACAAAGAGTCCGGTTGTCGACGGAATAGAGCGATCCCACCAAGCGTTCGGCGCATGCGCGAAGCCGCCATAACTTTACAGGAAGCAGCTGGCACTGCCCGAAACATCTCGTCCTCTACACATGCAGAGCATGGCACGCGCAGAAATACTATAACTTCCCTTGATGCATTGCGGCAGCGGTGTCTTACCCAAACTGGCTTGTGAGATCGGTCTAATAACCCGATCTCATTAAGCGTTCCGCGCATGCGTGACCCCGTCTTAAATGTAGTAACTTTAGTTCATAAGAGGCAGAAGCTCACTTGACAGGTCGTGCCGGCTTGTGCCGGCGCGTGCTCTGCTCGTGCTCTGCTCGTGCCCACCCCCCGCTGTGTTATTACGCGTGTAGAAGGACTACAGTTCCCATGATGCATGACGACGGCGATGGCGCAATGAAACTTCCTGTGAGATCGTTCTTTTGCGATAACAATGATACGCTGTTGTGTGTGTGTGTGCATTTTGTGGCGTTATAATTGTTACCATGGAAACAGGAGTTTGACAGGCCTAGGGAGTGTGTCCGAACCGTTTTCGGGTGTGCATGAGTACAATCTGTACCTTTGGTGCGTTACACGCGGATTGAGCAGGATTTCTTCACTCGTGATATTCTCCAAAATCCTATATTACGTCACTTTCGATCATGGCCGCTTCCTGTCGGCGCTTATTTCGGTGACGTGTCGATGATATTCGGCACTTTCAGCTGAGTTCAGTTTTACAGGGACCTTGTTTTACAGTTTGGTTTGTGACTTGTACTTTCTGAAAATGTGGACGTGGTGCGGTTTAATAGCTTTATAGTATTACTGAGATTCTGAAAAGCTGTACGATATGAGAAATATGTAAATGCACGCAGGTGTGATGTGCGTTCCCCGTAGCATCAACGTTCTGCATGTTGTGTAAGTATTGGTAACACCCGATGGGGTGTTACAATACTTACCTTTTTTGCTCTTGATTGTTTTCTTGTAACGATTGATCATCACTTGAGTGTAAGAGAATGTTACTTTTTACACTTGACGTGCTAGCCTTCCTAAATTTGGTTGTCATTTTATTTAATTTTCTACAAATATATTTTCTATAGGTCAGATTAGGGGCAGAAACTGTGCTGCCTTCAATAATACTGCTAACTCGGAGAGGCTGGTTAAAATCAACATAAAAACACTCGCAAAGCAGCCTGATTCCACCGTACTACCTTTAATTCTACGTCAATCTCACCAGTTTGTTTGTTTATTTTTTTATTGTGCAGTTTTTGACTTTCTTGGAGTTCGCCGGCACCTAAGACGCATGCTTTGCAACTGAAGGTCGCCTCGCCGGAGCTCCTGGAACCTTGCTTCGAAGCTAACTCGCACCAACAAAACACTCCAGGTACGCATATACAGTCAAGTTTCAAAATACACTTTATTTTTCTTTTCTTTTTTTTTTTCTTTTGCGAAAGAAGTCTGGCGAGTTATTTTTAATCATGATGTAGAATACCCGAGACTGCGGTAAAAGCTGGGACACTTGGTTGAACAGAAAAGACAGAGGAACAGAACGTCTTAAAATTGAGACGTTTTTTTCCCGTCTTTTTTTTTTTTTTTCGACCAAGTTTCCCTGCTTTTACCTCAGCGTCGGGTATTCTGCATCATGATCAACTTCCACCAGCTCGCCTGCACATTCATTTTTTGTCATTTTTAGTGTTCGATACTAAAAAAAAAGCCGTATTTTCCGCCCACAATGCGTGAAGAAGCGAAAGTGATATCTGTAGCACGGTAGCGCAATGCGGGTGGAATGGTGCCGTCAGGTACCTGAGGATGGAGGTGGGACGGGATTGGTTCTCATAGCCGTCGTGGTTGGCGTCGTGGATGCCATGGACGACCACGAACGAGTGCTCGGTGATCCGTAAAGTGAGTGGGTAAGCGCGGTGGAAGTTTCTAAAACCATCCAACGTTACGCGTTGTAACTGGAGACTGCCGAAGTTGGATTTCCCATAACGCGAGTGATGTTTGAAAACAAGTCTTTGAAGCAGACGACAAGAACGCTCTCCCTTCGTCGGGTCGTTACTGGCGGGATGCCAAGGCTTCCCGCTTTTATCTCTCCGACGAGGGTAGAAAGTTGGCCGAGTTGGCGATTCATAATGATTAAAAAGCGCGACAGGACAACGGACGCAGAAGGAGACACAGACACAGCGCTACTTACCACTGAATTTTATTTCCGCTGCAGCTCGGTATATATTACCGGCAACAACACAAACAAGTTAGGAAGATATAAAATACACATCGTAAAAAATCTAAAAAAAAACATAAAAAGACTAAAATTCCTGCATCAATCATCGGCACCCACCCAAAACTAGTCATGCTTGGTCAAGAAACTGCAATTCTTTTTCGGATAACGATAAAGAGGGTGCGCTGACACATTGCAGCCCTAATCTAGCAATTGCAGTTTCTTGACCAAGCATGACTAGTTTTGGGTGGGTGCCGATGAGTGATGCAGGAATTTTAGTCTTTTTATGTTGTTTTTAAAGATTTTTTACGATGTGTATTTTATATCTTCCTAACTTGTTTGTGTTGTTGCCGGTAATATATACCGAGCTGCAGCAGAAATAAAGTTCAGTTGTAAGTAGCGCTGTGTCTGTGTCCTCCTTCTGTGTCCGTTGTCCTGTCGCGCTTTTTAATCATTATCTCTCCGCGCTGCGCGGCCGATGGGAAAACCCGACTTCCCTGGCCTCGCGCCAAGAGCGGAGAAAAAAGTGTTTTTCCCTTCTTCGCGCACGCGGCGATGACAACGGACGAAGTCGAAATCTCTGCAAGGTGTCGACCGTAAAGCTATCCTTATACTATAGGGTTGGGAAATTGATCGATTTACCTACCGATTAATGCTTTAACCGCGATTAACATTTGAACCGGTTAAACGGTAAAATTTTGACTAACCAAAACAAAGTAAGAATTCAACGCTTTTGCCACGCAGACGTGGACGAGTACACCTTTATTAAGGGCAACATTAGGAGAAGTTTCAGCCTAAAGTAAAATGTAAGAGCGAGATTTGTAACTCCAGACAATTGCAGAGGGTGCTACGCGTCCCGGTCACTTCAACGCCGTTCGAATGTCCGTTTGTCGCAGCAGAGACTATTGTGAATAATCAAGGGAAGTCGCTCTTGCCGGAAAATATCAATGAACCTCTTTGGCTCACGCAGCTAAAGGGATGCTGAACCAAAAATCGAATTTCAGTAAACAACGCAGAATCGATAGGCTACGAATCCCCAAGCGTCACTCATACAGCTGTATCTCCAACGGATCGTCATATTTTTGTAAAAGAAGAGCGCGCTAGGACAAGGTCGAAAAGACGCGTGACCTCGCGATTCTCATTTCATCCTCTTTTCGCTTTGATTCCGCGAGGGCGCGGAGAGGAAAGGGAGCGAGGCCATTTCTCCCCATTCTCAACTCTTCTCCGATAAGATGACGTCAAAATTTCCCCTCATTCGCTCCTTTCTTTTCCAGAAGTACGGCCATCCGCTGGAGATGTGGCTATATCAGTGATGTTTCGTTGTTTATGGCGCCCTGTTGAATACTTCTGCAAGCTTATTTTGTGAAATACGAATTACACATCGAGATTGATTAGAAATCAAACTTGTATATTGCTTCATTTGTCACATTATGAACAAAACCAAAAAAAAAAAAGATTTTATATTGTATGCATGAGATTGCGCGAGACAGATTATTCGATTAATTAAGCGATTAAAGCTTGGCTATTAATTGGGCTAAAAGTTTTAATCACCGGCCAGCCAAACTTTAAAAGCAGAGATGAATGGGTTAAGACCGTGGAAGACATCCAGCACGTACGCGTGCAGTGCTGGACAAGTTCACAGTACGCAGTTCTTCAGATGGGACGAAGTGTCCGTCCCTGTGGAGAATTTTCGGTTATCTTTCTTCCCTCGGGGGTACTCTTTCCAATTTTCTCCACCTACTTGTTTTGACATATGACGCTCTGCACGGTATATGTTCTTCCACCTCTTTCTTGTAGGACACCAGATATTCCTCAGCATGGGACTGAAGAAGCTGATCAAGTGGGCCCTCCTCTGCCGTCACAAGAAGATGCACTCTCAGAAGTCGCAGCTCCACTTCGTCAGCGGCAAGATGTACAGTGGAGGCAACCGGGAAACCCGGTATGCTCTGCGAAACACTTCCCTCGGAGGAACGTTTTAAAACACAAGATGAAGGGGATCATTCTTCGGTCTTATAACGCTCCTCAGTCTACGTAATATCGCAGCTCAGCTGCTAATGTACGCGAACAAAGAAGGAAAAGCCAATCGCGTGTCACGTATAGAAGACTACATATGGACAAGGGCTTAGGCAATCCGTGAAATGTAGTAAAGGTGCGACAGCGCTTGACTTTTTTTTCTTTTAACGAGCTGCATTTTTGTCGGAATTTATGCGGAGATATATTAAATTGGACGCCAAGTATCAAAGATGCCACGTGACACCATGACCACGCCACACTGATGAGGCACCATGATATCAGGTGACACTGTGCCACCAGGTGACACTGTGCCACCAGGTGACACTGTGCCACCAGGTGACACTGTGCCACCAGGTGACACTGTGCCACCAGGTGACACTGTGCCACCAGGTGACACTGTGCCATCAGGTGACACTGTGCCATCAGGTGGCACTGTGCCATCAGGTGGCACTGTGCCATCAGGTGGCACTGTGCCATCAGGTGGCACTGTGCCATCAGGTGACACTGTGCCATCAGGTGACACTGTGCCATCAGGTGACACTGTGCCATCAGGTGACACTGTGCCATCAGGTGACACTGTGCCATCAGGTAACACTGTGCCACAGGGTGACACTGTGGCATTACGTAATACTGTGACGTCACATTCTATTGTGACGTCACATGATTGTGACGTCCTGATACTGTGACGTCATGCAGTTAGACCAACACGAGCAAGAAAGGTTCGGGGACGGTTCCTATATCAATTTATCGCTTTAAGATAGTGGATTGCAGAGCTAGATGATGATGACTCGACATACTTTATCACTTTAAAACCGACGCACACGACTTGCTTCAGATCTTTCTGCCGTCTGCTTTTCCCGGGAAATACTTTTTTCTTAGACCTGATGATAATGTTGCAGTACCGTATGGGTGAAGTAATCAGAATTGCGACAATCATTAATGAAGGTAAACACCTAAGCCGCACACTCCAGGCGCGATAGTTCCGGCTAATCCGCCGTCTCGCACCACAGCCGTCTCCTCGTGCTCTTGGAAGACCTGCGGCAGCTTTACGCCGCCTCGTGGGGCAAGGTGATGGCGAGCCTGGAGAACTGCTTCGACGCGATGCAGAGCAAGGAGCCCGTTCGCGTGCAGTCCATCTGCTCCGTCGTGCTGCTCTGGGTCCAGCTGGGGGAGACCATAGCCCAGGACTTTGACCCGGCCATCTGGAAGAGCCCCACGCTGCGGAACATCAACGACCTCAACGACTCCCTGCTCAGGATCTGGAAGGTGGCCATGGATAGGACGTCCGAGCTTGTCTACAAGGTGAGACAGGTTTGCTTGGACGTCGTAGACTACTCTTTGATAGAGCTGCTGGTCTATAAAGAACAGAAAAATTTCTAAAAAGAATAGGCCGGAAGGTCTACTCTTTGCAAACCTGCTGGTGTGTCACTTTGCTTACCCTTGGCAAAAAACATTTTTTTTGTGTGGAACGCTCTTGGAAAGTATACTTGAAGTATATGGTGTTATAAAAAACTGGGTTCGTTCTAAACTCGACCGGAAAGATAGGCGCCTAGTATAGTGATCTGAAATTTGCTGCAGAAGTGCATTTTAGGGGTGGATTTTACCTTGCAAACTTTTAAAGCGTGGCTTTCTTCTTGTGAAATAATGAGACTAATACACTTGATACGATCAACGGCAGACGCCGAAACATTATGAGTGTTTACATGTGTGAGTACACAACCTCTGCAAGAGCACCGCCACTTTGCTGCTTTTGTATGCTCATCGGCCACCTTTCATGATCATGGTTATTAGATTTATGCCTGCCCTCGCAGCACAGATGACGCTGCGGACGACCTCATGATGTTTTAACGTCTCATAGATGTTCTGTGAACGGACGCACATAGTCCATCTATGCCGATTGGGCCAACGTTTCTGGATCAGTCAGTTGACAAGCTGCCTAGAACGTCTCTTTTTCGTGGATTGTCCGCTCCGTGGTGCTTGCTACACAACAGGAGCAGCGGAACCGGTGAGACGTTAAATGCACATTGCTTGCGGAATTTTTTTTTTTAGAAAGGTGAAGTTTATTCTGCACTTTGCTAAAACGAAAAGAACGGCGTTCAAAACACGGCCCCTTTTCGTTGCCCGTGGAGACGTTGCCGTTGGTGGCGTAAAGGCGTATTCACACGAGGGAGAAATCCCGGGGATTTCTCCCTCGTGTGAACACCCCTTAGCCCCTCGATGTGTTTGCGTTTGTCTTGCAAGAGCGTGAAATCCGTCAGTGCACGAAGTCCGTACGTCTCAAGCGGCCCTTGGAAGCGAATGGTGGCAGAGAACCCGCTCGTGGCACGTGTCTTGTGCATTTCCACAACAATGGTTGGCGGTACTTGTAAAAAAATAGTCCGCTCTCGGAGTATTGTTCGCAGGGACAAATTTCGATAAAAATTCCGAGGATATCTAAGCACTTCTTATGAGTTGTGAATGCGAAAGCATGAATGTCGTTCTTCCGTTCCCTTAGTTCGTCTGCGGCGTACTGGCGTGGACGGACACGTTTCGCTACTGCCGAGGCAGCCGAGCGCGCGCTCTCGTAGAGAGGCCACAGCCCCCCCCCCCCCCCCCCCCCCCCCCACACACACACACTTTTCCGGCAACGCCTGACACGAGAGCGGCGGCGGAGCGCGCGCGCTCGTGAAGCGACCACAAATGGCTACCTTGGAGCCGTGTTGCTCAGCCAATGGAAGAATGGGCATTTCTTTCGCGTTTTTTGCCGTTACAGACGCCGCCGGCTCCGCTCCATTGGATAGTTAATGCTTTCGCATTAATATTCCTTATCAAGAGGCTTATATCCGCCCGTACCTGCTGGCGTGCAGGCAACAAAGAACCGTTTTTGAACGATGCTCTTCCGTGGAGCTTGTCAACTGATAGATCTTAGAACGTTGGGATGGAGTGGTTCCCATTCACGGTGGCAGATCTAGTTTCGAAGTGTGGTTGCTCGATAGCCATAGTCGCACCTCTCGTACATCATACAAAAGACACTGCATTCGCTGCAGGGAGGTATGACAAAATCATCCGCGGACACGCCTCAACATGTTCTAGACATGTTTGCTTCGTACATGTGTGCGGTTCGAACATGTCTAAAGACTGTCTATTAAATGATGTATTAGCAATGAGACAGCGAATGAAGACTTGTGCACACACTTTTTAACTGTCTTGGGTCACGTAACATCACTCTGCAGATCATCCCTCAGACGAGTCCCGACGTTGCCGTGGTCCTGGAGAAAGAATACCAGTCCTGTCGTCAGGAGACGTGGACGCTGTTCCAGGTGACGCCTGAGACCCTGGAGGACTACGTAGACGCTCTCAAGATCTACACCAGCAACACGTCCTTGTGGCATCTGGACGAACGAAAGTTCCTCAACACGGACGCCACGCTGGTCAAGTCCCTCAGCCAGCTGAATCTGGCCGTTTCTTAGCGTCGGCTCGTTGCCCGCCATCTTTATCTGTGTTTGCCATGGTGCATCTTGAATCCGTGACCTCCATGGTTCGTCATGGACGTGCTTGTTTCTGTGTGCACAGCTGTGCACACAGCTGTGTGCGTAGCATGGAACACCTTCGAGACCTCATGTGCCTCTGGACGAGTGACTTGAGATGAGACGTCCTCTTTCTCCTCCTTTTTTTTTTTTTTTTTTTTTTTTTTTGCAAAGGAGTGTGCAGAGCTTGGAGAACCTTTGAGACCTCGTGTGGCTCTGGAGAGCTGGACGATTCCACTTTAGATTATGCTGCTTTTAAGGCTCCAAGTTGACTCCGTACAAACCAGAGTATGGACGTTCATCGTTGTGGCAAGTGAGGCGACTGGGCAAGATTATGCAAGGTGTCCTCGCTCTCTTTTGTGGTGATTTGCTCGCGTCTGTATGACAATGACAGGTTCGTGTGTTAATTTCGGAAAGAACAAAACCTTCAACACGCTGTGAGTTCAGAAACTTGGCGACCGTGCTTTCAGACACGCGTTTTTTTTTTCCTTTTAGTTTGTAAACTGCTTTTGGTTTTTCGAACGGCGTTTTAGATGCATTAACATCTGCAACGTGATGTTGTTTGGAATAGCTAAAACTAAGGGCTAAAAGATGTAATTTTAGCGACCTATCTTTATTGGAGTCAAATTTTTTAGGACAAATTTTATAAATTAATGTGATATTCCTTTCACCAGGGAGATATAAACATGTTCGACATCTCTGAATAATCCAATACAGCCCTGGTCATATGGCGTGACATAGTTTTACATTTGCCTAGATAGACTAGTTATCTACTTTTTTTTAAAGCGCCTCGGAATTAAATCGAGTGGGTTTTGTTGTTTTATAATGTAAAAAGATACATCAGACACGGCGTCGATGCCTAGACTATAATAAGTAAAGAAAAAAAGACTTCTGACAAGACTACATTACCATGTTTGCAGTTTCGCGTAGTGTATATAATGTTCAATAAAGTAGGAAGCGAGCGCATGCTTGCATGTGAAATGACTGTGTGGTGTTAAAATCTCGATGGCACTCTCACGCAGAAGTACACCGTGTTATGATATGACCAGCCATATATCTCGTACCTTACCTTATTAATCATTTCACTGGCAGGTGCTTACAGCTAAATGTCGTATTGACCGATGGATGGATGGATACGGCTGAACACATAATATGGCGGTGGCTTGCATTACCAAGCCAAACCTTCTAAATTAAACAATTTTTACATAACCTTTTTCACGATTAATTCAGGCGCGCAGTGATTCTTTGTATGTCTTTGTCGAAAACCTCGTCCCAAGCCTCGCGAGAATCCATGTTAAGTTCGTCATAATCCATCGGTCTTCCCTTTGTTTTCTTTGTGCGAAGGCCGAGCTTCCCAGCTCTCGCAGTTTTTTTTTTTTTCGATCGGGTTGAAGTTTTCGCAACTTTGAAACCTGTAGGGGGCGCACTGGTGCCTATTAAAATGGCCGTCATCTGGATGATCGTCGTAGAACATCAGTACGAAGCAGGGCCTGCGACGCGTAAGTAATTCGTTTTGCTTTATACGAGCCTGCAGTAATAGAGCCGTACTTTATTCTTTAGACCCAGGAGGGTGCACGCAAGCACTTTTATTGTGAAGCCGATCATCCAGGAGGTACGGAGCGCGATTCTCACACCGCGGTACCGCCATCGCTGAAGGTTGCGAGTAGACCATATACAAAAAGACCTGTCATCTAGATTATCATATTGCCGCCATACTGGGGGTTTCTGGTACCGATAGTTTTCTCCGAGAGACATTGGTCTGGGCAAAGGGGGAGTCGTACATCTAAAATATGAACAAGTATTGTCAGTTCAGTTCGTACCCTTCACACAGCGTCTTCGATAAAAGCCGTTATTACCCGGATGGCCCAGATCAGACGAGCATTGCCACCTCGTTGCTGATATTTCTTTCCCCACAATCTCGCGACCGTCTTTTCTTTTCTCTTTTTATTTCGATTTAGATAGCTTATTGGACCTACAAATACATTGTCCTAATATTATAGAAACCGAGTTCAATACAGAAGCGCTCCGTCCACAGATGATGGCAAAGACCCCCCATTATGGCAGTTCCAAATGGCATGATGATGATGACAGCTAGCAGGAACTCGTGCGTTTGATCACCGCCAACGTTACTAAAAGACTCGACTGGGAAACTTGAATTTGAAACCCGGACCGCTCGCGTCCACCGAGAACAAACTAAATACGATAACAGCGCCCCCCCCCCCCCCCCCCCACACACACACACACACGCCTTAGCGACGATCAAAACAAGAAAGTCTATTTATATATCTGTACAGTGAAATGGCACTGCGAGATAGCGCCACCGGCCTTTGCGCGGCTCGACGTGAGCCAATACGTGCAGCCGTGCAGTTCCCGAGTTCCCGGGGTGGCCTCTGCCGGAAAAATGACGGCGTTGCGATCGCCTTTAGTTTGGTTCTCGAGTTCGGAACGGAGTCACTTTTTCAATGCAAGCTCTATGGCAGTTGCCCAACAAGGTTTTTATTATTCGTGCAACAAGCATAGCTTGATTTAGATTAGGTGCGCTATTTGTGCATCCCGAATAAAGCCAAAAAGGGCTCCGGCATGCGCGTTCACTCTGGTCCATTTGTAGTAGTCCTCGGGGGGAGGCCAGGTTGCGCAACCGGGTTCTAGCAACGTTGATCTCCGCTCTTCTGTCTTAGATAGGCGTAACAGCACAATTTCCCCGTTGTCTGTCCTTTCCTTTCTTCCCAGCGGGTGGAGGGGGTTCGGTGGCCGAGTGGGCTAGCGCATACCAGCTCGGAGCACGTGGAGCGAAAACTCGCGCTGCAGAACCCAGGATCTGAGGCTCAATCCCCACCGCTGCCCGTTTCGATTTGGATGACCATTGTACCTGCGTGCGGTCGTGTATCACTACTGCGTGGTGTACGTTAAAGACTCCAGGCTAGCGGTTGCACTGCACTGGCTAAATTTCTCATCTACAGCGAGTGACTCGCCTCAACTTTGAAATGGCTGACCAACTACACGCTGTATAAATATCCACACAACCCCAATTACTTCCAGCGGGTGGCGTCTCCGTTGGAGGTGATACCGCCCTGTGCTGGCTGGGTGCCCCAAACCACCGCCCGATTATTAGGTTTCACCAGTATTCAAAGTATTCAACTATGAATCCTACGAACAATAAAGTAATTGTGTTGTGTGTATGTGCGTGTTTTTTTTTTTTTTTTATTTTTAGAGCGGGAATAAGTTTGTTAGTCCAAAGGCGTCTCACGTCTCCGCTGTCTACGTGAGATTTAGGCAGTGCAGTACCCTGCTAGCCTGGTGCCTTAATCTATAATTTGCATCACGCAGTAGAGACACGAATTAGTCGCTAGTTGTTTGTGCAACAGGAGTTTAGCTTGCCAGAACATGGCGACGTTGTTACCCACTGTAGACAAGCAATTTAACCAGTGCAGTACAACCGCTAGCTTGGGACTTTTAACGCGCATCACGCAGTAGTGATACGTGACCGTACGCCTGTACGGTGCTCATGCGGATCGAAACGGGCAGGGGTGGGGATTAAACCCTAAATACCCCCTATCCTGGGAAACGCTGCGCCATTTATTGTTGCGAAAATGCTCGCGACACGTGCCGCGCGCCACATCTGGGAAGAACATGGCGTCTAAAATGTAGCCTGTATACTGCCCTGTGCCGCCCTGTGGCGCCGTGACCTTCCCAAGGGCTGCATGTTGCACGCGCCTCGTACATCGACGCACCTTGCGCTACTTTTGAAACGCGAAGAGGTTTTATTGGTCCGTGGATCCCTGGGTTCTGCAGCGCGAGTTTTCGCTCCACGTACTCGTAGCTAAAGCCTCAGAGCTGGTGTGCGCTGTACTACAAGCGCGAGCATGTGACCTTATACAGTCCTTCCACTGCACGAGCGCGCGTGCTTGGCAGGGACGCTGAAGCCCGGAGCTCGCGCTTCTAGCGTCGGCTGCGTCTGGACCACGGTGTAAGATACACTCTTTAGGTGAGGACACGGCGGGGCTGAACGCGCGGCGCGAGGAATCAAATAACGTTCGTTCGACGGGCATTCGAAAGGCTGCATCATTCAGCGGCCACCGTGCCCGCGGCTGACAGTGTCGCCGGCGGCCAAACGGCGAAACTGTGTGAGAGCGAAAAAAATGATCTCGTTGCCGTGACACCCCTGTATACGCCGTTGTATTTCTGCGCGAGCGACAACCTCGCTGGAGCTCCGCGCGTGTGGAGCATGAAACGGCACGAGCCGTCTTTGCCGTGCCCACGGGTCGACGAGTCATCTGCCGGCGCCGCTTGAAAGCATAGTGAGAGAGAGAAAGAGAGAGAGTGAAACGCGAACTTTATCTGCACTGCGCGAGGAGCGCGCTGTCCTCACCTGGAGAGTATTATAACGAAGTATAGCCCTCTCCGGCCACCGATCCCCCCAGTGGGGATATACGGCCACAGGCCGGCTACCAAGGTCATTCAGCCTCAAGAAGGTAGTCATGGGGATTACATCCGGGATCCCTGGTTGGCAGTATATCAAGCAGCATCAGCTGATACTCAATTTTCTTCGGTGCCAATAGACCCTTTCCGAAATTCAGTGAAATCTGGTGGATTAAATGGAAGTTTAACTTTTACCGTGCTAATGGCGGCAATGGACCTCCAGTTCACAGTTTTGTATCGGGCACCGTTACTTTCGTAAGTGAACGGCAGACGAAAATATGCGCTTCATTGTAAGTTCTTTTTCAATCTCTTTCAGTGTCGATGGCGAAAAAAAAATGCATCCAGTCAGAACGAAGCGCCAACACACATAGACTAAGCTCTATATGTCAAAGGGCTTTGAAACCGATTGTGTGCTACCAAGAGATTGCTGGGACCCGAGTTAGAAGTGAACGCTTACGAAGCTCTTGCATTCAATTCCTGCTCCACGTCGTGCTAACGTCTCAAATGTATGTAGGCCTCGAACCATCAGCTTGGGAGCATCTTCAACGTCTTCCTTCATTAGCAAACAGAAGGCCATTATTCGTACGGCACCCACGCCATGTTTTAGGTGATGATAGTGATCAAACTGACCAGACTGAATTTTGGAAAGGGTCTATAGTGGCCCACACTGGGCTTATGTGACATTGGCTGAACGAACCGGGTGACAAATCATGCGATTGCTAACTATGACCACGGGTTGAAGATTAAATTGCGTTTTATTTGATCACCTCCTCCTCCTCGTTTCCCCACCTTTTAGTTTCCTCTCTGTTCTTGTCTTTGCCTTGAAACATTACACAGGCTGGGATTTTTGTCCTCAACCCTAGCTCCTGGGGTAATACGGAACCACGTTTTTAAGAGCAGTGATTTCGGTGGTGTCATTCGGTCTCAAGTAGTAGAGTCTTGAGAATTCCCTGTTGCCTGCATGTCTGTGACCATGTAAGGCCCAGACACGGCGGCCTTGGACCCTTTTAATCCTTTTCGGACTAAAATCATGTCGTCTGGTTGGATTTCTGGTACTGTAGATTAGTGTCGTTTGTCGTAATTATTTTTCATTGCTGACCGATATGTCTCGTTTCCGTGGGAGTCGTTTCTGTTCCTGCAATTTGATTTTGTTGGTTGAGCCCAGAAGGTTATCTGCAGGGAGCCACGGGCTCTCTCCGCACATGGCGAAGTGTGGTCTACATCCCAGTCCAGCTGTGTGGGAACTGATGGGGTGCGCAACGGCTGCTTCAAGCGCGCGCTTCCATCCACCACTGAAGTTAGGATACATTGCCATGAATTGTTTGGTGTCTCGTATTACCCGCTCAGCTAACGAATTTGATTCTGGGTGATATGGACCAGTAGATCGGAGCTTGATTCCCCTTTCTTGCGCCCAATTCGGCAACGTCTTGCTGCGAAAGGCCGGTTCATTGTCTGAGACAATGACCTTCGTATTCCGAAATGCTTCTAGTTCCATCAGCGAAATGACAGAGTTGGTGTCTTCTTTGCCCGCCTTGGCAGCCACTACTCGCGTGCATTCATCA